GCCCTGGTGCTGCCACGGGCCCCCATCCACCTTTCTTGGGGCCCTGGTCAGTGTCCCCCACAGCTGGACTCCAGGTGCCCCCAGCCCCTCTCCTGGCTCCAGCATAACTCTGGGGAGGCAGGGTGGTCTTGAGCACTGAAGGCCTTGCTGAGGGGAGGACCAGTCCCTAGCCCACCCCGAACCCTCAGACCCCTTCTTTGCACCTGCCACACCACTCTGGGCCAAGGCCCGTCCTGGGAGAAGTGGAGGGCAGAGGCATAAACTGACAGGCAAGTTGTGCCAGCCCTCAGCACCCCGGTTTCCTCACCTGTGACGTGGGGACCATCTGTCCTGCGTCTGTGCACTGCTGCAGGCCTGGATGGGCCACTGCGTTGCACTGTGCGGGGCACTGCCCCCCCACCCCCAGCCCTGAACAGTGCAGGAGGGGCCACTCATAGGGTCTTCCCCACATTCACCCTGGGGGCCCAGGGCCTGCCTGTACCAGGAAAGGTGGCACAAAGCAGTGCTCAGCCCAACCCGGGCAGCCGGGCAGGGCGGGGAGAGGCGGACCCAGCTGAGCCCCTGCCGAGAGGGGGAGCTGAGCTGAGGCCTAGAGGCCAGGCCAGGCCCTTTATTTCCAGAGCCCAGGACACGTGTATGGGCCACACACGGGTACGCTCACCGAGGTGTGCACACACGAGCAAGCACACCGGCACGCGTACAGAGGAGCCTCTCCACCCAGACTCGGCAGTGTCCAGCCCCAGCCCCAGCTCACCCCTAGTCTGCGTCCTGCCATTCTCTTTGTGTGATTCAAGGTTCCCTGATTCCTCCTGTGGAACACACACCCACTCTCCCACCAAGGATCTCCTCAGGCATCACCTCCTCTGGGAAGCCCTCCCTTGCTACCTCAGCCTTCCCTTTTGTGCCCCCAAATCCAGTGCTTTCTGAACTACACCAGTGCCCCCAAGATACTGCCGTGCTTCCGGGGCCTCTGCAGGGGCCTAAACATGGGTGCACCCTTTTAGACACTGTGCAGGAAAAAGACATTGGTTCAGGGACATCTGGAAAAGCTAACCAAGTTCATGCCCCCCAAAACTGCTGGCATGTGGGGGTTTCCCTCCACCTCTCTGCCAGTGCCAGGTGGGCTCCTGGCCAGTGTGTGGCCTGCCTTCATGTGGCTCCATGGCAGACCTACACCCACAAAGCTATCTCCACAAGTTAGGGTCTCCCTAGTGGCTCTTCTGCCCCCCGACCTCCCAGGTAGGACAGGCCTCTCCCCTCTCAGCCCAGGTATGCCAGGTGTCTGCTGCCCTGTGGTGGGAAGCGGCCTACAGCGGGGAGGGGCACAGGGCACTAAGGCTGAAGGGGTTTGGGGCTGGAGCACTGGAGGGCTGCCCCACGGAGCACCTCTCTGGATTGGACCGAGCAGCCGCCAGTTCCCGCCCTCTGAGCTCCGGGCCTTCAAGCGGCAAATAGCAGCGCGTGTGCTCCGTGCTTCGCAGGCGCCTTGGGGCTGTGGCTGCTCTTTGTCCGCAGTCCCAGCCACCTGCCCTCTGGAGCACGACTCCCCACCGACCCGTGCTCCCGCTCCCCGCACACCGCCAGCGCTTGTGCCTGAGGGGCCAGTCATCCTTCCATCCCCTGGGTGCGCCCCTCCCTGCCAGACCCAGCCCCGTCCAAGAACACCCTGTCCCACTCTCACTCTGGCTGCTCAGGAGGGACAAAAGACGACCCCGTAGCTCAGCCCTCAGCATTCCTCTGTGCCCCCACTCTCAGGGAGATGGCTGGCAATGAGGACTGGCCGCAGCCTGGCTCTGCTGCCAGGTGTGTAGTAAATAGATTCAAGCCACAGTGAGCTCTGCCTGGTGCGTCTGTCAGCTTACCACCATCCAGTCCACTGTCCTGGGGTAGCAGGCACTGCAGGCAGGCCGTTTAACCTCGATGACCCTCTGGCTCCTCATCTGGGACGTGGGGCGTGACACCTGTTACAGGACTGCCCCTGCCTGGTGCTTCGCAGATGCTCCAACACTAGGGACTCAGTGCCCCTACCCAGCTCTATCTGGGATCCCAAGGAAAGACCCTGACTCCTCCTACCACCAGGCAGACTCAGCAGCCACCAGATGCCCACTCCCCCACAGGCAGTCAGATACCCCTCCAGTGCCCCCAAGGGTCCCAGCTGGCTGTGGCTGGTGACTCTGAGAGGCACCTAGGCTAAGCTGTCTCTCCACACCTGGGGCCCCACTGAGGTCCTGGGTGCTTTCTCAGAGGCCACGGCAGGCGACTGGCTGGTGGTGGAGGGATGGCCTGGGCCTCACCTGGGGCCACTGGCGCACAAGAGCGGAGCACGCTGCTATGTCTGGGTGGGCCCAGGCTGAGGACCGCGGCACAGAACCGCTCCTGGGGCACCTGGGTGTGTCGGGCCTGTGCCTGTGGGCCGTTCCTGTCCCTGTCCCTGTCCCTGCCTTCCCAGAAGGCCAGCCTTGCTCCTGCACCTGCCCCCCACACCCATGGGAACACTCTGGGAACTGGGCACACCCAGGTATGGGGCAGTCTGGTGCCTCACAGGACCCTGTGGATGTACCCTGACTCCAGGGGAACAGGCAGGGTGGTGTGGCAGTGACCCTGCTGGCCCATGCTGCCCAGGGTGCTGGGAGGGGGCAGGGCCAACGGAAGTTAGGGACTGTGGTTGCTTCGGGTGGGGCAGGAGGGAGTGTGTGGCTCCCCAGGAGGTCCTCCTTTTTTAAAAATTGTGACAAAATACACAGAATGGAATTTACCACCAGGGCCATCATCAGGTGCACAGCTTGGGCATCCAGCTCATTCCCAGTTGTGCAGCGCCCACACAGCCCAGCTCTGGAACTTTCCATCTCCCCACACTGAACCTCTGTCCCCATCAAACCCCAGCCCCCAGCCGGCCCCCTTGTCCTCTGTCTCTCTGGATGTGACTCCCCTGGGGACGGCCTGTGACTAGGTCACACAGATTTGTCTTTCTGCGCCTGGCTCCCTGCCCCGTGTCCTGAGGGTGCCCCCACACTGCAGCTGGGGTGGAGCACCCTTTCTTTCTCAGGCTGTGTCACATCCCCTGTGCGGACGGACCACATGTGGCTCACTGCCATCTGTCCGTGGACCCGTGGGTTGCTCCCACCTCTTGGTTGTGAGATGTGCAGGTGCAGTGTCCCTGAGGCCCTGCTTCAGTTCTGAGGGCACCCGGGGGGGCCTGCAGGGTCGTGAGCACACTGTGCCACAGAGGCTACCCCACCTGCAGTCCCCACACACCCTCCTTTGGCGTCAGGAGCTCACGGCCCTGGAGTCTCCTGCACCCCCATGGGGGCCGCTGCTCCAGGCTCTGGGCCGTGGAGAGTTTAGGAGGGGGTGAGAGTCCTGGAGTCCTGGACTCCAGCTTAACCATGCCCCCAGTGGGGCTGTCTGGGGTCCCTCATGTCCACAGAAAAGCACCTTGCCTCAAAGGCTGCTTCTAGGGGAGCATCAGCAACTCCAGACACCCCACACCAACTAGCCCCCCTCAGACTTGATGAGCCATCCAGGGTGGGAGCAGGACGATCCCGCCTTCCTCCTCAGGGCCCCAGCGGGAGGAAGGACCCCCTCCCAGCTGCTGGGGTCAGCAAGGCAGTGAATCTGACCCACGCACATTCCAGGGTGCTGCTGTGCAGAGCCCACCAGCCCCCCTGTCCTTCCCCCTGTGCAGCCCCTCACTTTGGACAGTGTGAGCCAGGAGCCCAGTGAGTTTCCCACACTTTGGCCCCATTCACAGTGTTAAACGGCCCACAAAGGCCAGGCGTGTGCCTCGGAGGCCACCGAGCTGCCATCTGGCCCACGCTTGGGGAGGGAGGGAGTCTTTCATCCGGCCGGGCTGGGATTTAACGCCATTCATTTCATATTTCCCACAACTGAAAATTGGATCAAAGCTGCTCCATCCATGGGGGGCAGGGAGGTGGGAGGGAGGAGGCAGCCCCGACGGCCCACTCGCCACCCTCACTGTGGGCAGGCCACCCTGGCCCACTGCGGGTGGGCCACCAATTGAGATGGGGTGGCAGCAGGCCCACACCTCCCTGTACGTGGCATTTGGATGGAGAGTTGGCTTTGGAGAGGGGGCCAGGGTGGGACATAAGTACTAGCCAGCTGCCCCCCAAAGCTGGGCTTGCGGGCAGGAGGAGGGAGGGTCCCAACCTGGGTGCTGCCCTCACTTGTGGGCCCAGCCTTGGGGGCCCAGCGGCCAGCAGGTGCACGTGGGCTCGGGGCTGTATCCAGCCAGTGTTGGCTATGGCCAGGGCCAGGGTGGATTGGGACCTGCCCCTGTCCCAGCATTCCTTAGCCCTTGGCTAAGCGCCTCCTTGGTGATGGGTCCCTGGTTGATTGCGTAGGCAGTGGAGACCAGGTGACTGGGTCATCCTGCCATCCCCCCTAGCCCTCCCTAGGGAGCCCATAAGCAAGCAGGGATGCACCAAAATGTGTGGGCTGCCCAGCACAAATCCCACTTTGGCTTCAAAAATGGCCACTACTGAGCATCACCGGGTCCCCCTTGCAGCTTGTGGGACCTGCCAGCTCATGTCTATGGTGTCAGCCACTGAGCAGCCCAAGGCCATGGAGCAGAAAGGTGAACAAATGGCTGCAGCAAGTCCATTCTCAGCTTGCCCGGGGCCCTCTGCCCTTTTGCATCGAAGGAAAGCCAGGTGTCTGTGGTAGGGTCCTATCTGCCCGAAGAGGAGCCCTGGCTCAGAGTGGGGCTTCCCAGCCCTCGGAGCCATCTACCACCCACAGCCGACCTACGCCTGCGTCCCTTCAAGAGAGGTGTGATGGGGAAACAGGGGGAGCAGGTACCAGAGGGTAAACGGGGGCTGCCTTCCCTCCCTTCCCAAGTCACCTGAAGGAGCCACCTGGGAGCCCCACAGCCTAATCCACCCCAGGGGGTGACCAGATGGCCCATGGGGCTGTCTTGCACTGGCTGTAAGCCAGGCCTGCCTGGTGGTCCTGATACCATCCTGCCTGCCTCCAGATGGACCTATCGCTGGGTAACCAGAGACTCCTTGTATATAGAGGGACTTCTGGAGCAGGTCCCCTAACAGGCCATAGCTGAGGGTCACTGCCAAGATCCCTGGGGGGTGTCTGATTGGACTCTTGTTAAGGCCTTGCAGTTCCCAGCCACACTTGGATGTGGCTGCCGTCCAGGGAAATGTGCTTTTGAATTTAAACTCTGGCTAAAGTATCCTGGTACCAGCTGCTGGCTCCCTGGGCAGAGGCCCTGTCTTCCCCTTGGACCTGACTGGGCTCCACCCTGCCCCAGGAGGAAGCCCCAGCCCCAGTCCTCTCCCTCAGTCCCTGCAGGACAACTGGATTCTTGGCTGCAGAGAATCAAAGGAACGTGACTGTTTCGGGCAGAAGTGGGTTCCCACCAAGCCCTCCCCTAGGCGCCCAAGGTGGCCCCAAAACAGCTGCCCGCCTTCAGCCTGCCTGGCCATGTACCAGGACTATCAGTTCTTCCAGTGAGGTCCTAAGGGATCATTGAGCTGGTAAAGCATCGCTGTGGGCTCCAGGCCTGCCCTGCTCTGATCTTTGTGTGTGCCACCTGGCACTACCACCCCCAACCACACAAAATACCCAAAGAAAGCAAATCCTACAGGTGCCCAGCAGGCTGTGCAGAGGGCAGTGTGCAAGCATGGCTCCCCCAAGTCATGCATGAGCTGTGATCACACACCTGTATCAAGCATGCCTGGAGCCATGTGTCCTCCTGTGCTCTGGACAGCATGGTCAGAATCCCTGATGTGGGGGTGGGGTGGGTCCTTGAGGGGCACCTGCTGGTGCTGAGCACCCACATGCTCATGCCTGAGAAGCTGCTCCCTGGAGGATGGAGTGAAGGGATCTGGGGGGACACCTAGGTGCCAGGCTCCACGCTGGGCATTCATACCCTCTGGCTCCCTGAAACTACCCAGACTCCAGTCAGGGAGGTATGCCAGCCCATCTTTTAGCCCTAGAGAAACATGTCCTGGGTGACAGCTTGGGGACTTGGCACACAGGCCAGCAGGTCTGCCCCTGAGATGGGGCCCTCTTCCACCTTCCACGTGCGCACAGGCTGAGGAGCGGGAGGCACCTGTCAGAAGTGTGGCCTCCTCTGTCCGCACCCAATGGGGCGCAGCAGGGCCCTATGGCGGGGGGGGGGGGTGCCCGCTCCGCGCGGGAAGCCGCTGCACTTGCTAGTAAGAAAGCCTTTCCCTTCTCTGCGCCTGTGGCCCCTGCCGGCCAGCATCGGGGAGGAGAGGAGGAGGCGGGGCCCCGCTCCTTCCTGGGGCAACCCCTCCCCCCTCACCCCCCGCGGCCTGGGAAAAGGCAGCATATTGAGGCGCGGGGCTCGCAGCATCAGGCCCCGGGATGCTAATGAGGGCGGGCGCGTTCCCACAGCCCGGACATTGTGCGGCAGGGCCCACCTGCTCCTCGGGGAGCGCCCATTGTGCCCGCGCCAATTCACAGGCAATTTAGCGTGCGCTAATGGGCCGGCGCCTTTGTGCGGCCCGCGCCGCCATTGGCCGCCGAGTGTGGGAACGGCCGCGGCGCCCGGGCCCCAGGCCCAGCCCGCCACCGCGCCTATATAGGGGCCGGGGTCCGCGCCAGCCCGGGACGCCGCGCCGCTCCCGCCCCGCGAGCCGCCCTCTCCGCGCCAGGCATGGCCCCCAGCACCGTGGCCGTGGAGCTGCTCAGCCCCAAAGAGAAGAACCGAGTAAGTGCGCAGCCCGCCCCGCGCTCCCCGCCCGCCCCGGCCCCGCCGCCCGCCGCCCTGACGCCCTCCTCCCGCAGCTGCGGAAGCCCGCGGTGGAGAAGATGCGCCGCGACCGCATCAACAGCAGCATCGAGCAGCTGAAGCTGCTGCTGGAGCAAGAGTTCGCGCGGCGCCAGCCCGGCTCCAAGCTGGAGAAGGCCGACGTCTTGGAGATGGCCGTCAGCTACCTGAAGCACAGCAAAGGTGGGCCGCCCCCGCCCCTCCGGCCCCGCGCTCGCCCCCGCGGCCCGCCCGGCGCCGCTCACCCCGCGTCTCCCCGCAGCGTTCGCCGCCGCCGCCGGCCCCAAGAGCCTGCACCAGGACTACAGCGAGGGCTACTCGTGGTGCCTGCAGGAGGCCGTGCAGTTCCTGACGCTGCACGCGGCCAGCGACACGCAGATGAAGCTGCTCTACCACTTCCAGCGGCCCCCGCCCGCCGCGCCCGCCGCGGAGCCCAAGGCGCCGGGCACAGCGGCCCCGCCCACACTCACCCCGGCCAAGGCGGCTGCCGCAGCGCGCCAGCCAGCCTGCGGTCTCTGGCGGCCCTGGTGACCCGGCGGGACCTGCTGGCAGCTGCCCTGAGGACCCGAGGCCCGGCCCTTCCCTCCGGCCGTCCATCAGTCCAGAAGGCTCTCTCTCCAGGCTGGCCGTTCAGCAGGAGGGTCATTCTCAGAGAATGTGTGTCACTTGGGACAATCAGGGCCCATCCTCTGCCAAGCGTCTGACCCCACGGGGTCGTTCTGTGTTTGCATTTCAGCAAGTGGCTTCTGGGAAGTCCCCACCGCCCGGGGTTCTATGATATTTGTAGGCATCTGGGGCTCGGTCAGCCGGCGCCCCTCAGTGTAGAGGACTTTCTTCAGGGGCCCGCTGCTGCTGGGCCTGTGGGCCTGGCGGGTGGGCCGTGCCGTGGGCACATTTGCCTTTTGTGAAGGCGGAGCTCAAGGTGTATCCTCATAGGAGAGTGTCAGCCCGATGGGCACGGAAGGACGCGCAGAGTCGTGGTAAAAGGACCCTGCGTGCGCTTCATTGTCTGGTCAGGGCTCCTGGTGGGCTGTGTAGGGAGGGTGGGTCTCCACCGTGATCCTTAAAGGATTCCTGTGGGGGGGGGGGTGCGTGGGCATGACTTAGTATTCAGAATTTGAACTCACGTGACTGCTCTGCGGACTTGTAATAAAATCTGACTCTTCAGTCCTCCACTGTGTGTCTCTTGGGCCTCACACGTGTCCTTGGCGGCCACCAAGCAGACGGGGCTGCTGGACGGGATGGGAGCTGCACGAGCAGGGTGCATAACCATGGCTCGCAGGGTGGGAGGTATCCTGACTGGACCTGGGAGGAAGAGCCGCTTCTGGCTGAGGGAAGCAGGGGAGAAGCAGGGAGGGGGGAGGGAACATGGAGGAGAGAGGCAGGCAAGCAGGGCAGAGGCAGGGGAGGGGGCCTTGTGTGCCTGTCACCCCCTGGGTGCAGAAGGCAGCAGGACACCGTGGGGACCTGGGTCTCGGCCCAGCCTGTCACTAGCTCCCTGCGGGTGGGGTGGAGGCAAAGGGACGGCTCGGGACCCTCCAGCTCTCCAGTGGAGAGGAACCCAGAGACCACAGCCTGCAGCACAGCTACTACTGCAGCTAGACACACAGATGTTCACCCCCACCCTGGTCCACCCCCAGCAGCTGGCAGCCCCTCCACCTGGACAGCCCCCAGCGCACTGTCTTAGCCCACAGGGGGTGGCCCTGCCCTCCCTGCAGGCCAGCTGCTCGCCAGGGCTGAAACAGGCAATACTGGTGATGAACCTGCCAAGGGCAGTCCCTGGCCTCAGAAAGGGCACCTATTTTTAGGCGGGCTACAAGGTGTTGGTTCAGTCTGCAGGAACCTAGAGGTGCCCAGCCTCCCAAGACACAAAATCCACCTCATGGGGAGTTCAAAGACCTGGCTCTGGGCCCAGAAGGCATTCACATATTTCAGAGACCTGGGTTCCAGACGGGCCCTCCCTCCTTCCCACTCAGCACCTCGCCCCTCGGCCTTGCATCCCTTTCTGTTCACTTCAGCGAACGTCTGTAGGCACCCCCTCCAGACTAGCCCAGTGCCTGCCAGTGGCCTCTGGGGTCCCTGCCAAGCCCCTGGGAGTGGTGAACAGGGGGCAGGAAGGCCCCCTTCTTCCCACACATGCTGTAGGCCCATCAATGGATAGGGCAGGGTGTGCCTCCCAGCCAGGCCGGCCCCGCCTGTCCCCCTGCCTGGGGTCCGCACCTCTCTTGAGCAGACCCTCTGCACGCTCTACCCCAGGCCTGTCCACCCGGAGCAGCACACCCACTCTCTAGAGACACCCGGAAGGCTGCCATCCCCCCGAAGCCCTGCCTGAGGCACTGATGTGTCAGCTCCCACCCCTGAATTGCCCCTGGAGTTTGTATTGCCCCGCAGGCCTGTGCTCTGAGGCCCTGTCAGGCAGCTGGTCGCATGCCCAGATGGACGCTGAGGTCCAGAGACATGAAGTAACACATCCAGGATACCTGGGAGGCAGGTGCCAAAACCGCCTCAGAGGTTCTTTCTCAAAGCGCCCAGTGCCTCTGAGAGACGAATCCTTCAAAGTCTCCACGCCAGCGGGCGGCGTCCCAACGACTGGCCCTGAAACTCATTCCGACCACCACCCACGTCCAGTTTACGGAGCTTTCTCAGCTTGTTCTGCAAACTCCTGCAAACTCTCCATCATGCCAAAAGGTGGCTCCCTCGAGACGGCCTCCCCCACTTTCCCCTGCACTCTGTGGATCTCAGCATCCAACCGCGCAAGTGTGCATCTACCCTAGCTTACAGGTGCATCTCCCATCCCGGGCAGGGTCCCGGACTCCCCTTTTTCATGAGACTTTTGGCACCGACAGTCCTCTGTCCCTGGAGAGCCGGGCTGGTGGGTCCCATGCGCCTTCGCACACAGGTGCCGGGCTTACAGCCGCATCACTGAGAGGCAGGTCACTGGTGGTCCACAACCCCCAGGTGCCCCGCTGCACTAGCTCAGAACCCTCGACGTCAGCACCCGATCAGCCCGTTTTGCGTTGGGCCCCGGCCTCTGGGACCCCCGCCCCGGCCGGCCGTAGTCTGCCCTCCTGCGTCCACTACCACGGAGGCGAGCAGGGCGGGGCCGGCTCGGGCGCCTCATTAGCATAATCTATGCGCAGGGGGCGTTTAACAGTCAAATATATGCGCATATATCTCCATGGCTGATGAGGCTGGCTGGGCACATTCAAAATGGCGGAGTGTGGAGAGAGCGGCAGCGGGAGCAGCAGGGACAGCCTGGACAAGAGCATCACGCTGCCTCCCGATGAGATCTTCCGCAACCTGGAGAACGCCAAACGCTTCGCCATAGACATAGGTAGCGGCGGGCGGGCGCCGGGAGCGGGGCGGCGCGCGGTGGCGTGGGCGCGGGTGGCAGGGCCGGCGGGCCGGGGCGGTGGCAAGGACGAAAGGCGGGGCGTGGGCTCCAGCGCGCACAGCCTGTCGGGCCTCGTAGTCCGCGGGCCGCCGGCGCCGACGCTGGCCGGGGCGACCGGACTGCAGCTCCCGGCAGGCGCCGCGCGGCAGGCGCGGGGCATGCCGGGCCTCGTAGTCCCGCGGGAGCAGCCGTGCGGCCGGGTGGGCACCCCGCCTCGGGATGGTCGGCTTCCGGGGCCGGGACAGGCGCAGTCCCCGCTCGGGCCGCCTGCGGCTCTGCTCCTGGAAGGTTGGCGTCTGGCGGGAGTGGCGACCTCGGCCGGCGTCGGCCCGCAGGGGAGCCCCAGGCCCCGCCCTCGCCCCGCGAGCCCCTGTCATGGATGAGGACCCCGAGGCCGGGGAGGTGACCGACCGCCTAGCTCCAGGTCACCGGCTGGTAGGCGCCGAGGCGGGCTGGAACCGGCCCGCGCGCGGGACGGAGGGCGCGGGGTGCGGCCTCTTGGGAAGCCTCGGCGGCCGCCCAGCCCGCCCAGCCCGGCCTGTGGGAGCGTAGACGGCGGAGCCGCTCGCGCGCAGGGCGGTGAGTGCCCCCTGGCCGCCCCGCTCCCGCCTAACAGCGCCTTAAATGCTGGGGCCGGAAGTGCGCTGGGCTCCTGGCGGCTGGGACCACCTGGTGTCCCCTTGGAGCCATTTGCCTTTGAAGCATTCGCCTCTCCTCTTCCCAGGGGCCACTTGAGTTAGGGGCGTGTGGGGAGGGTGGCCTCCAGGGCTGTTGGGAGCGGTTAGAGTGGAAACGTGGCCTGAATTCTGCATTCCTACCTTGCAAACCGTGCTGGGCTTAGGAAGGGCAGCGCTTTGGGGGGCCTCGCCTGGAGGCCGGGTGGGGTGGAGAGGTCTGTGCAGAGCGAGGCAGAAGGGGAGCGTGGGCAGCAGTCTGAGACCCTGAGAGAACTTGGTGCCCGGCAGCACCCTGAGCTGGAGATGATGAGCTCCGAGGCCCGCTAAGGGGGTTGGGCTGGGTGGGGTGTGTGCTGTGTGGTTCTGGACTCCATCTGCCCTGACCCTTGGGGGGTCTGCTTCAAGGGAACAAGTCAGCACTGGATGCTTCTGAAGTGCAGCGAAAATGGGCTTACCTCAGGTGGTTCTGGCCCCCAGAGGCCAGCTTGTAGCCATAAGAGTTGAGGACGGTGGAAGTTCCCTGGCTCTTGGGGTCCTGGAGCAGCCCATATACAAGCCCAGGTGCAGTCCCTTGGCAGAGGATATTTTTAGTATCTACTTATTTCCTTTCTTTGAATTTTCCCCTGTATCTGGGTCCTGTGGCTCTGGTCCTTGAAAGGACGCCGTCATTGTCAGGGACAGGTCTTTGGTCTGTCGGTGCGTCTGGTGGGAGGTCACCACTCAGGTAGGGGCCTCAGCCCAGGACTCCACAAAGCCAGTGTTCCGGCCAACAGTGTGCTTTCCGCACAGGCTTCTCCCGTTTCCCTCCAGGGAGGCTCGGCTGCCCCATGCTCTTGGCAAGCCCTCTTCTGCTCTGGGCTCAGACCCCCTGTCGGCTGGTGGGTTCCCCAGTCCGAGAGCATCGGGAATGTTTTGTCAGCACACACTCAAAGCTGACCTGCCTTCATGTTCCCACAAGGCAGCCGGAGGGTCCTTCAGGTGAAGCAGAAGGGGCCACAGGGCAGTGTCACTGGCTGGGGTAGCCTGCCCCCCTCTATGCCCAGAGTGGAGGGACGGGCCAAGAGGGTGGCAGGGAGGACAGCCCCAGGCCAGGCCCAGGGAGCTGGGTGGACTGGAAGGCCTTGGCTCAGGTGCTGAAGGAAGGGTGCTGGCAGGTTATGCCTACCTATCGGGGTGCCGCCAGCCCCACGGTGGGGCAGGGGCTGACGGAGGGCCTGTAGCACTGCCAGAGCACAGGACTGTGTGTGCTCACCAGCCCGGTCACTGCACTTGGCGTGACGTGCGGGGCCTGGAGCCAGCCAGGTCGGTGTCCACTCTGATTCCCAGGGAACCTGGGACAGTCGCACTCTCCTGCCCTCCACAGGCGCTGGTCCTGCTCTGTCAGCTCATCTGGTTCAGACTGCCTGCCCTGCTCCCACCCGCACCCCCGTCTGTTCCCGCCTGCAGTGGGGAGCAGGGAGATGAATCTGGGCAGCACCCGTAGTGCCCTGCTCAGGAAACCACCTGGCCTCCTGCTGCCGCCCCCTATAAGCCCCAACACCGCTTGGGGGTCTGTAATTTAAAACTAACTTAAAGAGCACTCAATCTGGACCTCAGGTTTCTGTGACCTGGGAGTCTGTTAATGGTGACTTTCAATGAGTCTCAAAATACACCTTCATTCCTATGTGTTTCCTGACTTTTGAAGAAATGATTTATTCACAGAGGTGAATCTGACGGCGAGCATTTTAGTGGAAGGCACCCTAAGCCAGGCTGGAATTGGGGGCAGGTTGGAGAGAGAAGGAGGCTTAAGATCAGGTTCTGCTCCTTAAGTCCAAGACAACAATGTTTACTAACCATGGCGACAAGGGCAGGTCACAGGACATCCCGAGGTCCCATCCTTGCTGCCAGGCAGGTGACTCAGACCAGACAGGCTGCAGATGATCTGAGAAATGGGGCTTGACTTGTATTACCTGGAGGAGCTTTGACCCTGAGATACATGGGTGTTTCCAAGTCAGTTTTCTGACTTGAGTGTTTCTCGTGTATTCCCTGGGTTTTTTGTCACAGAACACCTGTTGGAAAATAGTTTTAGCCTTCTTGTCATAAGGAGGGGCTCCTGCCCTATTTCTGTCATCCCCGAGAAACATAGTCGGTGTCCAGGCCATTTGGCGGCGCCGAGCCTTTTGCCCCCTGAACATCCCTGGTGCCTCACATATGCCCCCTCTGAGCCTCAGAAGAGGGGCTTGCTTT